CCGTTGTCGTTGTCGTTGTTGTTGTTGTTGTTCTTGCTGGCGGTGGTGTTGGTGTCGGTGTTGGTGTTGGCGCTGGCGCTGGCGGTGGCACTGGTGCTGGCGCTGGCGCTGGCGCTGGTGCTGGTGTTGGTGTTGGTGTTGGTGGTGTTGGTGTTGGTGTTGGTGTTGGTGGTGTTGGTGATGTTGTTAGTGTTGTTGGTGTTGGTGTTGGTGTTGTTCGTGTTGGTGTGGGTGTTGGTGTTGGTGTTGGTGTTGTTGTTGGTGCTGTTGGTGTTGGTGTTGGTGTTGGTGTTGTTGTTGGTGTTGGTGTTGGTGTTTGTGTTGGTGTTGGTGGCGGTGTTGGCGCTCGTGCTGGTGCTGGTGCCGGTTCCAGTGCTGGCGCCGGCGCCGGCGCCGTTGCCGTTGCCGTTGCCGTTGTTGTTGTTGTTGTTGTTGTTGTTGTTGTTGTTGTTGTTGTTGTTGTTGTTGTTGCTGTTGCTGTTGTTGTTGTTGTTGTTGCTGTTGCTGTTGCTGTTGTTGTTGTTGTTGCTGTTGCTGCTGTTGCTGCTGTGGTTGTTGGTGTTGTTGTTGTTGTTGTTGTCCTTGTTGCTGTTGCTGCTGTTGCTGCTGTGGTTGTTGGTGTTGTTGTTGTCGTTGTCGTTGTTGTTGGTGTTGTTGGTGTTGCTTGTTTGCGTGTGTTGTTTGTTGTTCGTTGCTTGTGTTGCTTGCTGTTTGTTGTTTGCTGTTTGTTGTTTGTGTTGTTTGCTGTGTGTGTTGTTTGTTGTTTGTTGTTTGTTCCTTGTTGTGTTTTGCTTCTCGTTGTTGTTGTTGCTGCTGCTGTTGTTGTTGTTCCCATTCGTTTGTTTCGCCGCCAGGGAAGGCTTGCAACATTTTCGGGCACATGGTAAGCACACCCGTTCACGCGGGTCATGTCAGCACTGCGCACATGCCCGGCGCATGATAAGCACATCCCCCCACGCGCGTCAGCACCGCGAAAATGCGTGCGTCATGTCAGCACTGCGCGCGTGCCCGGCGCATGATAAGCACACCCGCTCATTCGCGTCACGTCAGCACTGCGCAGATGCCCTGCACATGATAAGCACGCTGGTTCACGCGCGTCACGGCAGCACTGCGCGCATGCTCAGCTGTTGAGAAGCGCACCCGTTCACGCGCGTCCTGTCAGCCCCCCAACCCCTGCGCCTCCCCACGCAGGCAAGTGTCAGGATCTGCCCCCGGAAACAATTTCCGGAGATGGGAAGGAGGATTTCTGAAGAATGGAAGGGCATGAGATAGGATAGGGGTCAGGGTGAATCGGTCAAAGCTCGCGCCGTCCCTGCTGCGACCATCTGCTTTGGATCGGCTGCCAGTCAGGCGCCAAGGAGTCATGGGAGGTGGAGAATCCTTTGAAACTTTTGTGTTGATGGAATCAAGTTGTTCTTGCACTCTCGCGCAGCGCTTATGTGTCTAGCAACCCCGCTTTCCAAGACTTCCCGGAAGGCGATTTGGTCTGACCCCTACCTATCCATACCTATCCCACGCCCTTCCTTTCCATAGAAATCCTCTTTCCCATCCCCGCAAATTGTTCGAATTTGTCCGATCGTTTTCGATGCTGCAGACTGGATTCAGACCTGGTTCAGACCAGCTCAGACGCCTTTTGGAGAGTCCCGCAAATCGGGCACATCGCAAACCAGGACTTGGGCCTGCTTGTTAACATTCTAACTTCAGATTCGGCGGCGCCCCCCGCCTGCTTGGCGGCCCATCCAGGCCTTGCAGCGTGAGATGGGACGGCACGCTGCCGACTCTGATTTCAATTTTGTCAGGGCCTCCAAACAGCATGGCACGTCCGGAAAAGTCCGGAAACAACTGCCTCGGGGTGAAAACCTTGTTCGCGATGCGCCGGTTTGCGGGGCGTCTGAACTGGTCTGAACCAGGTCTGAAACATGGGAAATGCTTCCCCCCCCCCCGCGCCTGCCTTGAGAAGGCTCTCAAAGGGCCCCCCACGTAGGGAAGTGTCAGGGTCTGCCCCCGGAAAAATTGGAAACAATTTCCGGAGCTGGGAAGGAGGATTTCCACGCAGGAAGTAAGTTGGAAAACAATACAGCGCCGTGCAAATAGTTGGCTGACAGCCTGCCCCAAAATGCAAGCAGAGGTTCAAGCCAAAGGCGAGTGTCTTCTGCGATGTTACTGTTGTTCGCAAACTGAAGCATTATCTTTGAGACCAGGCCATGTGTGTAGGATAACTGGCGGCGCTCAGACATTAGCTGCAAGTATCGCGATACATCACAAAGACATACACATTTCCGAAAGTGTGACTAGCAACATGCTGATGAAATCATAAATGTGCTCCACCTGTTGGCTGCTCATAGGCCAAACCACTTGCTTACGCCGACTTGTCCAAGGTGATTCGTAAGAATGGTAGCTTGTGACTCGCAGGGTCGTTCGGAATAGCTTCTATTCTTCGCGGGGAACTCTTGGAGCGGTTCAGAGCGGTTCCACAAGGCGATATTGGACACGCTCGCCG